GAGGCATAGAGAGGGCGTGGAGGCTGCCATTTATCCCATGATGTGGAATATGTTCTTATTACCTCATCTCCTTCACTGCTGTATAATAAATTATTCCAGTCTAAGTGCATGTTCACAATGCTGCTGTATTAATCTGCTGTTTTTGCACAGGGAAAGTGTTTGCTTTGCCTAATAGACCTGAGCTGAATAACAAGAAAAGCTGGAAGAGGTTTAAGGAAGCACTGGCCTTTGCATTTTACCAGGCCTGCTTGCTTTGAGTTGGGATCTCATCACAAATATTTGCTTCTCCTGTCATTCTGAATTCACCTGTTTCCATTCGCCATCATTCAAATTGCAGAATGCCACTCTTGACCTTATACGCCTTTTATAACAAGTCCAGTGAACCTTAATTGTTCATTAAAAAAATAAGTCCTCTTCCAACTCCCCTGATTGGCACTGTTTAGTGCTACATGTATGCATTTACTGTTGTTTAGAATGGTTCCTATTCATTTGTAGTTGATGAATATACGGATAAGTTATGGCTTTGTTTCTATTATTTATACACTTCATATTTAAACCTGCTGCAGAACAGGAATCTAATTTTAGAAAAGAAACATGCAGGTGAAACCAGACAAATTGAAAACTAAACATTAACTGTATAATATGTTTTCTTATCGGGAACATAAATAGTATCTTAGAATACTAATGGATGCGCTACATATATTAATGAGGTTTTTACCATATACTGCATATCAAAGGACCCCTTTTCCTTTACCATTAAGATATTCAATATTCATTTTGCATTCAGCGCCAACAGCTACAAATTGATAGCTAGCAGTTAGGAAATAAATGACTATAAACTAGTTGCTACTTAACATTTTTATCCCAACAAAGGATTTTGGAAGGATGGATAATTTAGATCTTTGAGCCTCAACTATAAATAAACAGCAACTGCTTTATAAATCCCACTCTGCAGTAGTTTAAGATTGTACTGCAAATCTGACAAATGATTTGCAAAAGAGAATGATGAACCCTTATTACCAAGACACACTTTAACTTAATCCAAAACAAGATTCCTGGGTAATTTTGCATACACTATAAAGATTGATAGCATGGCTCTTGCCTGGCAGCTTTCAGATGTTTGACTGGATCGGAAATGGCATTCAGGCATGATTAAAGATTCAGTTGGGCTTCTCAGAAATTCTTTATCCCGTGTATTCATCATTCTAACTCACTGCCTTTGTTACAGGTTAAAGATGGGTGACCCCAGCTTCAGTGATTAGTACCACAACATCCAACTCACAGTCTTAGAAAGAAAATGTTCAGGTTTCCCAGAGCTTTTCCATTTTTTATAAGCATTTTTTTTTTAATCAGAACAGGTCATGGAACGTTTTTGACAACTGACAAGCTCATTGTTTAAGACTTTTTTTAACGAAGTTGTTAACGTTAATTCTTTGATAGAGCTCTTTAATCTTTTTCAAATTATGTACTGACATGGCACAAAACTGTTTGGCATCGAAAGTCATTCGGTGGTGATTAAAGGGCTCTTTTTATCATTTTAAGAATGCTTCATCTCGTATCAACAGCGTGGAATTGTTTACTAATTAGACTCCCTAACATCCTGTTGCCTTGTGCTGATGATATGTGAACTGCAAAGCTGATGAGTAAAAAAAATTAAAACTTGTTACTAAACTGTCACAATATCTTACCATACAAAGATGTCACTCAAAAGATTGTGTTGATAAGGGATGAATTCTGTTTGCTGAGAAACAGTGTCATCTCATCTTAGTTATGGTAGTGCTGGGATCTCGAAGCGTTCATAGGTTTCTAGGGTTGGAAGGGACCTTGTAGATCATTGAGTCCGACCCCCTGATCTAGGCAGGAAAGAGCACTGGGGTTAAATAATCCCAGCTAGGTGCCTGTCTAATCTCTTCTTGATCACCTCCAAGGTAGGGGAGAGCACCACCTCCCTTGGAAGCCCATTCCAGATTTTGGCAGCCCTCACCGTAAAGAATTTCTTCCTGATATCCAATCTAAATCTACTCTCCTTTAGTTTGTGGCCATTATTTCTAGTAACACCGAGGGGTGCCCTGGTAAACACAGTATCCCCTATTTCCTGCTAACCCCCCCTGATGAGTTTGTAGACAGTTTGGATCTGTATTCCAGATTTTCCTAAAGCATTTGAGTTTCTTATAGGATCGAAAACTGTGCTTAGTCCCTACATGGCCTTCTCACTGCAATGAGGCAGCATGGGCCAATGGTCTATAGATGCAATTGAGAGCCATTCACTTTTCTTGACATCATTTCTCCATGTAGCCTTGGGCAAATGACATAGGCCTAAATTATCAAAGGACTTGCCGTGCCTACCTCCTACTTGTTAATGAGTTAAATGCCTCAGTACCTCTGAGGAGCTGGGCCTTAACTTCTTTCTCTCAGTTTTTCCACCTGATGAAATGGGGACAATACTGACCTAGTTCCAGGGAACACCAGAGGTTTAATTAGTTAATGTTTGTGCACTGCTCTGATGATGCTAAGTGCTAAGTATGCTTAACTTCACCCACCACACTGTCAGCTTTTGTGGGATAAATATGATTTCCATTTCCCTTCTTAAGGATAAAAAAAAGAGTTCTTTGCTTGCAAAGAAAAAGCTGCTGTGCTCTTTCCTCCAAAACAGCCAACACAATGAGTGAAGTGTTTAGAAGTAGGTAAAGTAGCACTTGACCCAAAAGCAAATGGCACGTTGCTCATGTGGCGCTCTCAAAGGAACAGAGGCAGCTTTAAATGATAAAATATTTCAGTCTTCCCCTGAAAACATTCTTTCATCTTTTAAACAAATATCCCAGTGGACACACAGGAGAGACTCCCAGTGACTTCTCTTACAGTTTTGTGTGTGTCCGGGCTCCCTCCGTTTCATTTTGGGTTATTTGGCTGCAATTAACTACTGAGGATTTCACTGAAAAGTAACAGAATTTGGCTCATCTCAAATTAAAGTTGTTGGGTTGTTTTTTTTTTAATTTTCCATTTTGTGAATTAGCTGAGTTCTGATTGAAGCAAACCTGAATCTAAGTTGACCATAATGCAGCTTTTCAGTAATAGCATAGTAACTAGTCTTTTTCATTGATCACATTAGTTTTATTTTTCATTTAGGAAAAAATGTCCTATAGAATTGAATACAAAAAAATTATAATCTTTTGTTAAGTCTTTTGGACCATCCTCTATACACGAAAGATCGAGCATATCCACGCAGTGAAACTCTCTGATGGTTGAATCAGTCTATAGAAAATCTGCCATTCTCTCCTAAATAATATGAATGTAATTTCTATAGAACCCCGTTTCATTTCTATAGGTACTACTGTAATATATAAGATTATTTCATAGGAGTATTTTAATAGATTATTTGGTTTAATAAAAGCATTACTATTTAGCACATTAACTTTAAAAAAAAGATCTTTTGGTTTGGTAAGAGCTGTATGTTTCTAGCCAATTTGGTTTTGTCCCAGGATTAGGTTGCCATGGGAGAACATTTCTAAGTCACAGAGTTCATTGTTATTAACTTTTTCCCATCTTAAGAGAAAAGCATGGGCCCTGCTAGCTAATTACCCCCCTGCCTTTTTTTCGCATGTTGTGTAAGTTAAGAACAAATAGGAAACCCATCTTGAAGATGATTTAGGCTTTTTAGACAGATTTGACACCGGAAGATGACAATGTTAGGTAACTCTCTTTGGTCCCCATTCACTCAACTCCTGGTTGATCCTTAGGTATCGTGATTATAATTACTGGATCTGAGAAGAAAATAATTTGAAGGACAACCTTAGAGATTAAAGCCCATTCCTACTCCCCGTGAACTCATCTTCTTGTGGTACCGTCTACTATCTCTTTGGTTACCTTTTCTATCATACGTGGCAGCCTCTTTGTTCTGATTCCTATCAGATTATAATTAGGTACCACAAAAAGAACTAGTATGCATAAGTGATCATAAGATGCCAGATAGACAGTATTGGTTTTAAATTAGAGCTGCATGCACGATGTCTTGCTATGAATTCCTATTATGTTTTTAATTACAGCTTGCAAAGCAAAGCTTTGTCTTTTCTCTCTGCAGCTTTTTTGACAGAGGTTTGTCAATCTGAATGAGATGCTCCCACATCACATCTGCATGAGTTCCAAAAAGTTGAGGGCCCTTATTATTCTAATTTCCATCACAGAATTCAAAAGTGATCCATTCTGCTTCTTTGCACTTAGATGTTGGATGACAAAAGTCACCCGCACAGCTCTGATCTATCCGCCGTATTTCTTAAAGATCTGTTAGTTTCCGCAAGTAGGTCTTAAAGGGTAGCAAAACTGCTGCAAAGCCTTGAGTCTCTGCAAATCAAGAACATCTCTTGCTGCACGAAGTAGAGAAGCATTTTGACACAGTAGTGGTGACAACTTCCACAGCAAGACTGTTGATCAAAGATATATAGACAGTTTTGGCACAGCTCCCAATTGCACTTTACATGATAGGCTTTAACTGAAGTGCCCGGATTAATTTTGTACAAGAGGTTTAAAAAAATAAAAATAAAATGTCAGTCTGCATTGCTTATCAAGGTTAGGAAAGCGTGGAAATCAAGGAGTTTGGTCATTATTTTCTGTATTGTAAAGGAAAACACGTAAAGCAGTGTTTTCCCTTTTTTCCCCCTTGTATAATAATCTCAGCTGGATAATTTTGATGGTATTGACTGAGGCAAGATACTTGCAGAAGTTGAAGAAAGTCTTTTTCTGAGTAAAGACAAACTAGGATTTGGATCGATGCATTTTGGTTTTGCTTTGAGAGATGAATACATCGTTATCAAGGTGCATTAAAATGAGCTTCCAGAAAGTCATGTGCTAGCCTTAACATTGTCATACTGTAAGTTAACTGTCAGTTGCAATGCTTTTTATCGATATTTTAATAAGACGCATGGTTTCACAGGACCACAGTCAAAATTACAACTGTAATATATATATATATAGATATATATATCCTTTTTTTTTTTTAATTCTAGCAACAAGGAGCTGCCACAACTGTCTACTGTGCCACTGCTCCAGAGCTGGAGGGCCTGGGAGGACTGTACTTCAACAACTGCTGTCGCTGCTTGCCATCACAAGAGGCCCAGAACGAAGTGACGGCTGCAGCCTTGTGGGAACTAAGCGAGAGACTGATCCAAGAACGAATTGGCAGGCAGTCCAAATAACAGGGAGCTCCTGTAAGGATCAAAACACACAGAGTATGTGCACACTAGAAAACTGCCAACACTGGAACCTTTCCAATCTTATCATCTAGAGGGTTTCCATATACCTCAGATACAGATTAACCAGTGTTAAATGAAATAATAGCAGTCACAACATAGTGAAAAATGTTAAGTACCAATGGGAAATGGGGAATACTGTGGGTTAAAGGGACAATATCGCTTTCTGGGGCTTAGTTAGTCTTGGTTCTCTTTCTTTTGATTATAGCCTGTTCAAAGTGTAACCCAAGGAAGCATCTTTTATGTTATTTTAGAACAGCAATTCTGAGAATATTTTTGCTGCTTTAATGAATGGCTAAAAATATAGCCGGATACGGGATTTCCTTTCTGTTTTGGTAATTATTCGCAGTTAGCTGTTATGCATTGATCATGATAGCTCCATTGATGCTTTTCCCTAAAAATTTTTACCGGGTGTGGCAAATACAAATGAGAGGAAGGAGGAAGGAAAGCTTTCCTGCCCTTGGCCACTAGCTACAAATATAACTGCGCTGTCTAGAAAAAGAAGGTGCAAGAAGACATCCAAACAGAAATGGCAGAGTCACTGCTAGTTAAATATTGCAGGTTTTCCTTAAAAGATTATAATAAAAGATATGTTGTAAACCATTCCCTAAATACCGTAGGGGTAGGAAAGATGGTGTTGTCTCCTTAAGAACACACAAGGGTGTAATCAGGGGTTTAAATGTTATTCCATCCATGTCTTGGTTCACAGTTTTAAGAAGTTTTTTGTTTTAAAGGTCTTTAAAGGTTCACAGTTTCTCAGTTCTCCTGATACTGTATCCTGTTCAGCTTTTTTTTTTCCTTTCAATTTAAATTTAGTAAAAGAACATGCTTGAATATTGTCACCTGAAGAGAAAGTTTGTCTCATTGCTGCAAATGTTTTAGTTCCTTTTTTTTTTTTTTTTAGAAAAGAAAACTTGAGGAAAAATAAAGAGCTTCTTGTTGATGTCATGAAAACGCGGGTTTTTTTTCTGGTTTCTTTCCGAGTTCATTTATGTGTGTTTGTGCTTTATAGCTGTCTTCATGCCAGAACGTTGTCCGAAGCCATCAGCATTCCAGCATTGTTTTCTGTAAAGAAAAAAGAAATACAGATTTTTAATAGAGCCTGATTTTGCTCTGTTGTTGTTTATGATTTATTGACAACAGAGATTCTTCATCAAGATTCAGGAAGTGGCTTAGTTTGATTAGCTGCTGAGTACATGTTCAAATCCAGCAACGTACTCATCAGAAATAAATAGCCGTAGTGCCCTCCCCATATAACGCATGCCAGTTTTAATAATGATGATGTTAATAATAAATAATAATACACATGTACGGTTCAGTTTGTTCTGAGTGCTTTTCTTTTTAGCTTGTATGTAAAGGCAGTCAGGATGCGGGCGACAAACCTTTCAGGCCTGCACAGAAACGCCCGTCTGTCTTGCGGGTGCACGCTGAGGCTGGCCGAAATCCCCGAGACTGGCTACTATGGGACCGTCTACACTATTCAGTTCTTCCAAACAGATATTGGGTGTGAATGGTGGAGCCATTGTCCTGAGATCCCTGCACCAACCACCAGAGTTGGTCCTACGTGGGACAAACGCATCCATCCTTGCTGAGGACAAGGCCCAGGCCAGTTCACCAGCCACCCTGTCACCTCCGTCCATTATCCCTCAGCCACTAGTAGCCTCTCCTGCTTGATATTTGACTGCTGGCATGACATTCCCAGTACAGCCAAGGTAGTGTTTATAACATCTGCATAGACATTTCAAGAAGTAAGTAATTCTCTCGGTGCCCTCCCCCGAGATTATAAAAGACACGAATCCTCATCAAGGCCAATGGGAGATCCCCCCTTTTTTTTTTAAACCCTTCATACCTCCTTAATTCCTTGACCGATTTCCTTCAAAATTTCCACACTGAAATGATATCATGCCTGAACATTGTCAGTGCAAGGAAAAGTTAAGATGGGATCAAAATCAGGCTCAAAATGAAAGACTAGTTGAAGTTTAGACAGCCTAGAAACTAGACGGCACTTACCACCTGTACAACTGCCCCAAGAGTTGCACTGGGTCTTCTTTTCATAGCAAAAATAAAAAAGGATTAATCTAATACATGAATATTAATGGATCTAAGATGACAGAAACACTGCAGCACAGGATGCCATTTCTAGGTTAGATATGCAGAGTAATTAAACACTGCTGGGAGCACTATATTCTTCCTAAGGCCTTGGGCCTTATGCTCCATTTAGGCAGACATTAATACCCAACAATGCACATGCTGTCATTTCGAAGTGCTGCAATATGGTATGCTTTTATGAGAATTTTGGTATTTAGCAAGATTGCTTTCCTTCAAAGACTATCTGTTTTTGCGCTCTCCATTGTTGGGTTTTAAAAAGTGAAAGCATTTTTAATCTTGCAGATAGCTGTAGCTTTCATTGCTATGGCGGTGCTTCTGAGTTCGCTCAGCTTACCAAGTTCATTTGACACTTATGCCTGTAGCTGGTTACCAAATGCTTGTTGACGCTAGTATGCTACTGTATCCAGAATTTTAATGTTGACATTTTCTCCCAATCAAAGCCTGCACCCTTTTTTTTTCTGTGTACGCTGTGCTGAAATAGCCTACATAAAACAAAATTTCCTCTCTTTTTCCAAATAAAGGAGCTCACTTGATGCGGAGTAGCAGAATATTTGTTTTTTGTAGCAGAATTTGTCAAAATAATTCTGTGTACACATATGCATGTGCAGACAGCTTGACAGCCACACAGAAAGAAAAGGCTAGTGGGATTAGAAATGCAGAACGAGTTAGAAGAAAAAAAAAAACCACTTTATTCCGATAAATGGTTCATGTCCTAAGTGAGTCTAAACCAGTGGCTTTGAAAGTTGCTTTGTATTTTGGTGTAAATTTTGGTACATTTGCAATTGATCAGCTTCATTTATTGACCAGTTTATATTTTTTCCACCTGATTTACCTGAATCGATATCTGCAAGTGTTACCCCACGGTTGATTGAGTCCAGTATTCATTAAAGTTAGTTAAATACTCAAGCCATACAAGTCTAATGGAACAGCAGACTCTGAAACCTTGACTGATCTTGTATCAGCAAAAGAAAAAAAATACTGAATAATGGAAAACAGGTGATGTTACCTATCATTTCGGCAAAATTGTAATTTTGGTGATGTTGCCTATAATTTGGATTTCTTCAAACACATGCTAGTATTGATAGACATTTTTAATTCACATCCATTAAAATATATATAGAGAAAGGGATAAAAAAAATGTACTGCTGTTTTATTAACCTGTTTCAGTCTTCTTAGGGGCCACCAAGAGGCCAACAGCTAATATGCTTCCTACTCTCATGCTGTAGGATTTGTCACATAGGGTTTTCTTCCTTCCTTCCTGTTCTTGCTTGTTCGGATCAACCATTCCCTTTAAAATCACACAACTCTACATGCAGTAGGTGGGGTCTTATTTCTGTGTTGTATTCAGACAGGTGGATGAGCAGCCTTCTTTGCCACCAGCGAATGGGCCAGCAGGTAGTCCTCCAAGGCCAGGGTACAATCCTGGCACCAGTAAGGTCAATACCAAAATTGCCTTTTCCACCTGTGGTGCTAGTGTTATCTCTACTATGTGGTGGTTTTGGAGGATTATTGCTGCGATGGACCTGAAATCTAGTTACATCTCCCAACAGTGAGACAACCAGAAACCAATTTGCAAGGGAAGTGGTGCTCGCTCCTACCCTGGGGGTCTTCAAAAGGAGGCTAGATAATCACCTAGCCGGGGTCGTTTGACCCCAGCATCCTTTCCTGCCCAGGGCAGGGGGTCAGACTTGATGATCTACTTAGGTCCCTTCCGACCCTACCAACTATGAAACTATGAAAACAGTCCAGATGTCTTAAGTCCACACTGGTCAAGTTTTTGGGTTTGTTTTTTTTTTACAGCAGAGAAGACATCCTCGTATTCTGCGACCAGGTAGGTATTTTATTTGAGAAAGTCTTTCCAGCACCACTGCAATAATTTCACCTACGTCAAGGCTGAATAACTTCCTGTCAGCTGTTAAACTCATGACCTTTCAAGCTAAACACACTTTTACCAACTAGTTTACCACTAGAATGATCAATATCTGGACAGATTCTGGACAGATCTTACTTTGTCCTTTAGTTTTGCTTGTGACTTTAGACTTGATAATTATTTCTGACTGGCAAAAAATTACCTATCCATTTTATGTTCTGTACTTATCATGACAGATTATATATTCATAATTTGAACAGCAGTCTACCAGCCATACATACTGTGCACATGTCCTTCACATCAGCCTGAATTTAAGCTACAGTAATCAGGCTTTCTCCCTATGTATGTTATTTTTTTTAAGCGCAGTATAAGTAAAGGTACTAAATGCAATGTTTGTACTGTGAATCTGGGAAGCCCTGCAAAAAGTTGACCCTTTTCCAGGTACCTTGTCTGATTTAAGCATGTATTTTACTCAGATTTAAGTCTGACTTTGTATGCACTTTCTCTAAAAATCAGGTCTCCCAAACTACAATGAAAGCTGAGAAAAAATTCCTCTAATATTTTGAAGCCAAGATGCTCTGAGACGGTAAAGCACATTAGTACCATCAGTTATTAAGAATAGTATGCTTGTGGTTTTCATCTTGAAAGAGGTCAAATAGGTATTTTTACAAATAAGATTCATTTCAGTCACTGCTGAATTTCTGCCTGCTTTCCATGCAGCAGCTGGCTGGAGAAGTGAAAGGTAGTTGTCCTTGGGAGCTGCACATAGCTACCCAGCATTGTGACTAGAACAGCACAGTTCATCATCCAGCCATAATTCCTTCCACCTCTAAAACCAGCCTACAGAAAATTAAATTAAATCTCTGCCTATCTGGTGCCCCAGTTGGCATGGTAAGCTACTATGTGGCTCTGCCCCCTCACTTGTCTGTGTCTTAGGTACTTTGACATATCTGAGTGGCCTAAGTCTGAAGGTAAGAAGCACATGCAGGTCAGCCAAGACACCAGGGCTAGGGACAGACATTCAAAAAGCCTGAGACTGAATTGAGTCAATCTTTGCAGGTTAGTCTAACCTGTCTAGGCTAAATCAATTTTGTAACCAGACAGACATCCCAGAAATGCAGGCACATGCCTGCAGTGGCTCAGGCTAGAAGCTGGGGGGGTGCTAGAGGAGCCCTCCCTTGCCTTCCACAGAGCTGAGCTGAGGGAGGGCATGGCCAGCTCCCGGCAGGATGCTAGAATAGGGAGGGGTTCCCCCGCTCCTGACCAACCCAGCAGGGAATGTTTATCACCCCTAACTCAGTGTTTATTGGCCCATTAAGAAAACAAAAGAGGGACATTACCAGCTACGACATTACCAGCTACCTGTTGATTCTGCCTTTGTCCCGTCTGCCACAGCAGGGACCGTAGCCAGCATGTGGTCTGCTAGCTAATGCTGAGAGGTGTCTGAGAGGGAGAGGGGATACCTGATTAGCAGAGAGTGGGAGGCAGGGAGCAGAATCCAGGTAGGCACCTGCCGTGTCTGCCTGAGCTGCAGCCAGGAACCAGAGGGGAGGGGCCAGCCCTACTGTGGAGCTAAGAGCCCCATCCAGCCCAGAGAGCATGCTGGGATGCTGGGGGAGTCTGGTTTAACTTAAATCAGCAAGGGGTATGGGACAGACAGTGTATAAACCAGTTTGAGCCAAATCAGTTAAGTCTGATATACTACATTCAGCCAGGTTTATCTCAGACCGGTTTTAGCCACCAGTTTATGTGCACTGAACGTCTGTTCTGTTACAGGTTTAAACCAGTCTCTGATCACTTACATGTAATGTCTGTCCTTAGCCCAGAAACTAGTTGCCACCGTAAAAATGCAAGGAGATGACCACAAAATGTAGCAGGCTGCAGGCAAGTGCAATGGCAGCAGGTCTCACACAAGTGGTTTAGCTTAGTAGGGAGGGGTCTGGTCATCTAGGCTTAGGGGCCACTGCTCCCCCA